ATAAGCCTATGGAGCAGAGGTCCATCAGTGGCTATTAGCCACAAGGTATAGATAGGAATTCTCAGTCTGGGGCAAGGGATGCTCTGTATTCTTGATGCATGGGGGGGGCAACAGTGGGAGGGCTTCTGGAGTTCTGGCCCCACTGGTGGACCTCCTGATGGTACCTGGTTTTTGGCCACTGTGTGACAGAGTGTTGGACTGGATGGGCCATTGGCCTAATCCAACATTGGCTTCTCCTTATGTTCTTAACTGGAGGTACCGGGGATTGAACCTGGGACCTCCTGCATGCCAGCAGATGCTCTACTACTGAACCACAAGGAGGGGAGTAGTGATATCAGATTGAGGCAGAGGTCATTTCGGGGGGAACGCGGGGGAACACAGTTCCCCCGGGTGAGGTGCAGGGGGGCAGGGCACATGACGAAGCCCCGCCCCCTGCTTCCGGCCGCCCTGCCCCCGGCCCTCATTCAGCCAGGAGGAGGCAGGAGAAGAGGGAGGGTAAGTTGCTTCCTCCCCACCTCTCCCCACCCCTGCCTGCCTGGGGCCAGGGAGGGCCTTGGCAGGGCTTCCTCGCACTCCCACTGGCCTTGCAGGTCCACCGCCGGGCCCCTGATGTCAGGGGGTATGGCATATGCTAATGAGTTATGCTAATGAGTTCCCCTAGCTCTTTTTCTACGAAATGACCCCTGGATTGAGGAGAATATAAGAAACCTACTACTAGTACCAGCCAGCCATTTTCATTTGTCTATTTTTGGTTCCAATTTGTTTCTTTAAGATGTTTTTTTAACACCATTTATATTCACCAGATGGGGGAAAAAAATAAAAGTTGCCTAAGCGGAATTAAGAAAAATTAATCTGAGTAAGCAGACAACAGTACAAAAATAAATTCTTGGGGGGGGGTTTTTTTTGCAAAAGATGAATAAAGATAGGATTTTAAGAAAATCTGCAATGGTAGTGCCACATTCCTCGACTGTCCGCTTTTGTGTTTTTTTACCAAAATAACCCACAGTAGAAAACCAGTGTATTTCTTAATAAGTTCTGTCAAGATCCATAGCTATGTGTGAGTGCCATCGAATTGCAACCGACTTAGGGCGACCCCAGCAATGGGCTGTCAAGGCAACTGAGAAGCAAAGGTGGTTTGCCATTCCTCTGCAGAGTCTTCCTTGGTGGTCTCCCATCCAAGTACCAACCATGCTCAGCTTCTAACTTATGGCAACCCCAGCAAGGGGCTTTCAAGCCAAGCGAGAAGCAGAGGTGGTTGGCCATGGCTTTCTTTTGCAGAGTCATCCTTGGTGGTCTCCCTTCCAAGTACCATTCCTCCATAACTTCTGAGATCTGATGAGATCAGGCTATACCAGGTAACCTCCTGTCTCCCACCAAGATCTATACTGTTAACCAAAAAGCTTCTCAAATCATGTGGAAGGGCCATGGCAGAGAACATCGCTCGGCATAGGCCGTGGGTTCAATTCTTGGCAACTAAGGGCTGCCATTTCCAGGTTGGGAAATTCCTGGAGATTTGAGGGTTGTCCTTCATGAGGATGGGGTTTGGAAAGGGGGGAGACCCCAGTAGGATAGAAGGCTATAGGGTCCATCCTGTGAAGCAGCCACTTTCTTTAGGGGGGATTTAGTCTAGAGATCAGGTATGGTTTTGGAAGGCCTATGGCAACTCCCGTGTTGTTGTTGTTTTAATTAAAAAAGAGGTCAGGTAGTAGGTGACATAAAAGACCTTTACTTAAGACTCTGAAGAACTGCTGTCAGTCTGAGTGGACAATAATGACCTTGATGAACCAGAACCAAAGATCTGATTCCCTATAAGACAGCTTCATCTGTATTCAAGAATCGTTTATCAAATGGGGGTACTACAAGTTGTACCAGGCCCAAAGAAAATATACTTAAGCCCAGACAACAAAGAAGGTCTTAGCCTGTCATGCCCCTAATGGATCTCATTTCAGAAGGAGGAGGAGGAGGAGGAGGAGATGAAGGAGGAGGAGGAGGAGGAGGAGGAGATGAAGGAGGAGGAGATGAAGGAGGAGGAGATGAAGGAGGAGGAGATGAAGGAGGAGGAGATGAAGGAGGAGAAGAAGAGGAAGAGGAAGAAGAAATTGGATTTATACCCCGCCCTTTGCTACCTAAA